AAAAGGCTCACGGCTCGCGCAGGGTCCTGTGCCAAGAACGCACATGCTTCCGGGCGGCGCGGGGGCCAGCGGGAGTGAGAAGCTGCTGTAGTCTACAAGTAATTTGAGGGTTGACACCATTTTCTAATCTTATTTTCTGTCCTTATATAAAACACCTCAAGAGGAAAAATAAGAGAAAGTCCTGGAGAACAGAACACTACTCTGTTCACAGACAGTCACAACTACTCAGTATTTCCTAACCCCAGCTCTCTAAAGTCATTTCAGGCTAAGCACACAAAACACCAAAGATCACCAGTCTCAAGATAGAGGCGATGGTGAGAAAAAGATCAGAAATTTTAGGAAACATGAAAAGATCGAGATTGATGATAATACATTTAGCAAGTTGCTTGTATCTTTGATAAGCATGACACATAAACAGAATATGTATGTAAATAATCTTAACCACAAAGAAGGACAGAGAACCTCAGAAAAGTTATGGAGTTCAAGTTGAACTTCTTTTTCATTATATAACACCTAAAGTAACATTTGCCTGTGTCACAATTTTTACATATAACACTAGACTAGCAGCATCAGGATGCTACATAGCACAGTTTTTCACTTTTTGATAAGTATCAGCAAAGTGCTAAACCATACATAGTGAGCCTGCAAGGCAACATAGGCCAATTACAGGCCATAAGACTAAGTTCTTGGCAGTTCTACCTTTGATTCCTATTCAGAAAGATAAAAGAATAAAATTCAACTTTTGCAATGTTCTTCTTATAAATTAAAACTGTACACAGTAAACAACAGAGTACACATTCTTCCTTACCTGCATGTCTAAAATCAGTCCAGCTATCTGATTTTGCTGATTGTCTATGACCTACAATATAAAATTCAGCAGTTTAGAAGGCTTGAATCTCTTTAGATCCTTATCTAAAAATCAGCTTACAGGTGTGTACCCAGAGATTTTAAATAGAATCTTTGAAAATGTAAATGACAAGAGAAAGTTCAACTCTGAAAGAACATGAAATTCATGCAAAATAAATGTGCTGAACAGAAACAGACAGGTATTGAAAAGTAATCTGAATTAGCAACAAATGTGTAATTCTTTAATGAGATATTTGTTTCTAATGTAGGAAAAATACAAGAAATGCAGTACTTAAGGTTAAAGATGCCATGAGCAGATAATGTGCAGACTAACCTTACTGGCTTTCTCATTCTTCTCTTTAAGACATTCATTCTCACTCTGAAGCTGTTTTGTGTCCAACATAGGAAGCCGAATACCATCTTCCAGGCATTTTTCTACTTTCTGTTGTAAACTGTCATTCAACACAAAAGAAAGATTAAGAGGGCTGATTGAAACCAGAGGGTTGTGTGTTCTAGCAAAAACTAGAAACTTGCACCATCTTCCAACTAGAACTGTAAAACTGTTCCTATCAGAATCCAGCCTTATGAATGAGCAAACCAAGAGCGGATGAATGATGCAAAAAGCCCTAAATATTGAAGTTGCCATGGCAGTGGCAAGGACAGATTCATGCAGAAGAATGCAGGTTTTATGGGCCAGATTGTGTGCTGTGTCTCCCAATAGGCACAGCTCCAGTAGTACTGTGTAGGGAGAGAGGGCAGAGAGAAGCAAAGAAAAGCTTTGTGGTGCTCAGTTGCTCTGTGCTACTGTGGGAGGCAAAGCCTGCTCCAGCACAGATCAGAGGAATCTTCAAACCTCTCAAAAGCTTCAGGAACTTTAAAATCAGATTCTCTCTGTGGGGCACATACAAGTCAAAGTGGAGTCCAGAATCAGAGGCGGCACCAAGTACTCGTGGCCTGTCCTTCACGCTCTCTGTGACTCATAAGGGAGAGCACAAAGCCAATCCTGCCGGCTGCTCCCACACAAGACCCTCTGTAGCTCAACCCAAGCCTCTAGGTGTAGCTACAGCCTTCGTCTGCTCACCTTCTCTAAGAAAGGAAATGCATTTTTTATTAGTGCTAATCTTGCTGTCTAATTTAGAAACCAGAGGTCACCCCAACTGTTTGTAGGCTTTCAGAAAAGACAGAATGATCCCCCTCTAGATTATGAGACCACGAAGGAAAAAGGCCTTTCATTGGTAATATGGAAACAATGTGTCAACAATTTGGCTGGCAGGGCGACCCAGCCAGCTTGCCTTTCATCATGGAAACCTTTCAGACTCCTGTGGCATGCACCTTCACCCAAGGGAGGGACAGTGAACTGAAGGAACGTAAACTATTAAAAGGGATTCTCCCCTGCTTCGCTCTTCCTTTTTTTAAAAAAAGTTAAGTGTTTAAGTAGCTCCTCTGATCTAAAATGTAACACAGTAACAAAGTCTCAATGTCTTACCAGTAATATTCTTCGATATCTGCCCCATTTGTTTTTTCATTTTTACGCTAGTTCAATGACAACAAATTACCTTCAGCTAAATCTCCCTATAAATACCTGCACCCTCAGGGAAAAGGTAAGAACAATTTCTGGAAAGCTTTGACCCTTCCCTGACATACCCATCAGCCAATATCCAGGGAGTTTTTCCACAGCTCATAACAGGATCAGTTATCTAAAAGCCGTGCTGACAGCTTCTGTACAATGCCCCTTTGCTGCACAAATTTATTCCATCTTCTATATGCCAGCAGGCTATGATGCCATTGCAGTAGTGTCCCACATCCTTAAAGGAAAATAGTGAAGAGTGTCCTAGGCAGACTCTTCTCTGTGGTATTAATTGCAACTTGCCACAAATAAAACCCTTGCCATAAAAAGTCATTAGCATTGTAATAGATTAAGATTACGAATAACATCAGGTCTTGACATCAAGTGGGAAAGCACACCCATTTCAGGGCACAGGCGGAGCAGCTGTTCATACCTCTGCACTGTTGTGACCAGCTCTTTTTCTTTTTTCTTCTGAGATGCCAGCTGTAATTCTCTCTCTCTGCACTGCGACCGGGCCTCACCAAGCTTCTTTTCTAACTCAGCCATAGTTTCTTGAAGTTGCCTGTTCTTCTCTTCTAGAATGTGCAGCTAACACAGGTTACATTAGTCAGACACGATGCCACATCAGCAGAAGGCCTTGCAGCAGGCCACAGCCTTGCAGGCACCTGCTGCAGAATCTCAGGCCCATTTTGCTTATCTGACTATGAGAAATCCTAATACCTACAGTGACTTCTAAAACATTGAAATGCTTCTCTTCCTAAACAGATAGTGGAAAAAAATGTACGTTGAAACAGACTTGCCAACAGATATTAGGTAGCTTACTTATATTTTCAAAAGGTAAACCAAACTCCCTTCACCTTACCTGTTTAGTCTGCCCTTCTATATCATCCAGTGTTGGTAGGTCAGCCAGGTATTTTTCTAAGGTTTCAATTCGTCTTTGTTTTTCTTTGTTTTGCTCAGACTCCTTCTGGCATTTCTTTTTCAGGCTATTAATATACCGATCTCTAGTTTTAAGCTAGAAGAAAGAAAGAGTACATGTTTTATGATTATGGTAAAAAATAAACCTGCTTTGGAAGCAGAAGCTGGTCATTCTCCAAAAATTGTACTCTCAGCTGCATTAAACATTTGGCTACTGCAGAAAACAAAACCAAAAATTATAAACCCCAGCAGCTCCAAGTAATAGACTCACACGTGACCTCACTCAAACCCCTGTTGCTTCACCTCTGGCCAAAACAATCCATGTGCCTTATGAACTGAAAACACAAACAATTAAAATACTATTAACTTTTTCACCAATGGAGATGTTTATATGCAACAAATGATCAGGACATATTTTAGCCCACGCTCTTTCTCTGGACTAGGAAAACAACTCCAACTACAAGGACCAAAAACTTTAACTAAGAAGAATTGAAGCCAAAACCCTGACTTCGATGTAGTCTGACAATGAGATTAGGGGACATGAAAATGGAATAGCTGCTTTCTTAAACACCTTTTCTAGAGGCATCTCCATTGTCCATCAGCCTGGAAAAGATTTTTTTTATATTGTGTTACCTTAGTTCACATTCCTGGTACTTATTATGCTTTATTACCTAGGTCAAAAAAGTGGGAAAAAAAGGCAGGAAGAAAGAGTATTTTCCACTGTCCCCCCCCGCCTCTTTCCTTGAGAGCTTTTTATTCAATGCACAAAATGGACAGTTGTTAAGGGGTGAATCAGGACTGTGCAGTGAATCAGGGTCCATCTTACAGAACATTCTACTGACAAAAGCCCGGCTGCACAGGCCCTCACCACTGCCACCACACCAGTTCCTTCACAGCGAGGAACCCAAGCAGAAAAAGCTCAGAAAGGAAGAAGCTGCAGTATGCAATTTCTGTCCTTCCTGAATGTTACCCTTTCTGAAAGCACACTGTAGGGCTCATAGGAAATGGTAAGGCAGAATTTGAGATTAATTATGCATTCTCCTTTGTCTTTCCACTTGACACTTCACTGTATCGTATTGCTTCTCTTCCTTGAATCTGCATTAATAGAAATCTAAACCCAGTAACTAAAGAAGAGAAGGTAACAGTGACAATGTGTCCCTAAAACATTAATTACGAACCCCTTGGTCAATGGCACATTCCTGCTTGCAATAAAGGAAGGCTGTCAGTACATTCAAAACTACATCTGGGAATTGCTTCAGACTGCAAAGAAACGCCTTGTCAAAACAGTTCCAAGAACACAGCCATCCTTGTCTTAGACTACAGTCTACTCTGAACATCCTAGGAAAGCCACAAGCGAATCACTCTTGCAGAGTAGGCACATACAGGCTGGTAAGTGTATCTCAAAGCATGAGGGCCACATTTACAAACCATGCTAAAAATAAGGATTTAATTTTCACACTCTATGTTTTTAAATGTTATTTTGTTTACTGTAATAAATACTTCAAGCTACAAGAATTTTTAGAGCTGAGTAGCAATTTTTCAAAGTTTAACTGATACCTTGTTAAAACTGTCATCATGATTATTGTTTTATCTAGTACCACTTTTTAGGATGCATTCTCTACGAGATCAAATTCATCCATTAGCAACACCTAAAATCATTAACTTTCAATTTTTCTATCACAGATGATTTAGCTATGTTTTGAAAATAGCTCAGACACCCACATAATAAGTTGCTTTCTAGTAAACAAAACATATGCTGCTGAAACAGTGGCAAAAGGAAATATGGAACATGAAAGACACTTACTTTCTCCTCCATCTTCTTTTTCTCCTCACTAGATTTGTTTGAAAGTTGTTTTACAATTTCACTGAGTTGTAATTCCTTATTCTCAGCTGCTGCAATCTTTCGCTCAAGCTCCTCAAGGTGGGAGGCTGATCTTTCTGAAATGTGAGGTTGCAGCAGTGTGCTCTCATACTGTGGTTGCTTACAAAAAGAAATAAAAAATCATACAAATGAACGCACACATACCACTCTACATTTGAACAGCGCAGCACAAAACAGTCCTGCTTTTTTTTTTTTTTTGTTTCAGGAAGGGTGGGGTTTGATTTTTCAAACATTAAAATACATGGCAACAGCATGTACTTCAGGAATCTGGAACAGAAAAACAAAGAAGCTGGATACCTCTCCATTCACAACATATGCACAAGAACATTGCAGGGGCACTTTCCCCCTCAGATTTATGGAAGAGGTGTGATGTTTCTCCCAAAATAAATCCCTACAAATCCAAATAAAAAGCATTTTCAAAACAAATCACTGCCACTGAATTATCATACCATCTCCTGGGAAGAAAACCACCATAAAATGGCTATGAATATACTGAAGTAATAAATGCTTTAATCCCAAGACCCTTTTAAACCGGAACATCAGTACTAGCAAACCTTAGAGCTATCACACCTGCGGTGTGAATGGTGCAGGAACAAGCCTGAGAATAAAGCTATAATCAGAATTCAGGCTTCCTATCTTCTGTTCTATATACCAAAACTTCAACCCCCAGAGACAGACAAGCACAAAATGGAAGTCAGCTGCATGTGGGATGAAAAAGGAGAAGCGTACCATTAGGCTCTCAATTTCAAGATTCTTTTAATAGTGCAAATTGGTATCTTTAAAACTACTGTCTGTATAATTTCTTTAACTAGTGACATTCCTTCAGCAAAGCATTAGGAGATTCAAACTTTCACTAAAGTAGATTTGCTTTTATAAGTTCATCTTATAGAAGGCACACAAATCAAGCAGGAATCCAAATACATCATAAACTTTCAAAATACTTTAAATTATAAAAAATTAATGCATCTGCTACTTTATTTGAAGTGCAATACCATGTACTAAGATATGTGCACTAAAATTTCAGTTTCTGCACTATTGCTTCTTGTCTGATTGGTTCTGTTTGAGTCTCTCCCTGCCCCTCTCTCCCTGAAAAAAATCTTAATCTAGACAGATTCTAAAATACTTTGTTAAAGAAGATCTGGAAGCACCAAAAGCAACATTCCTAGACGTCTGAAAAAGTTTCTGGATACCTAACTTCACACCAAGGCTCCACTTGCATTTCTCTCCTGTGTCACACAACCCACATTCTCACATAATGTACAGCTGTGTTATTCCAAGGACATAATTAATGTCATGTTGAAGTACACTAGCTGAGATCCTAGTGCAGTGTTTGTGACAGAAAAAAGTAACATCATAAAAGAGGGACATAAAAGCTATTTTTTTGCATATATTCCTTTAACACTCTCTTGCTGCATTGCCTTTTAGATATGCCAAGGTCTGGAGATTTTGTGTGCTGTAAGCAGCCACAATCCTCAAAATGCATTTCTTGGTTAACCTATGCTACCTCATCCTCATGCTATCTTGATAATGGTGCCAGTTAGATGAAAATTAGGACAATTATAGCCAAAATACCACCACACATTCCCTTTCAGACTAAGTGTTCCCTAGGAGTACTAATCGATATCCTTTTCAGGTGTTTCGTCAAAAGGTATCCCACCAGTCTGTTTGCCTTCTCACATCTCTTCCATCTATTCTAGTGATACAATCTAACCAGCCAAAGGGCTACCTCCTCCTCCTCTTCAGAAAACCTTTCATTAGTTTTTTTCAGAGACTCTCCCATCAATCTACTTTATCTCCTAATATCTACCTATAGGACTATGATACATGCACTCTGTTAAACACTTACTCTTACAGTGTCCTAATCCCTCATTCCTATCTCATTTTTATCAGACTTCAAAACAAGTATGTACAAAATTTTAACAATACTTATATTTCTGCAAATATAAAGTGAACTACAAACTTAAAGGGTATTCTCTATACAATTCTCTGCTATGCAATTACACAGCCATCAATAATCACAAAGGCTCTACATTTTAGCCTGCAGTAAATTGTGAACATGCGTTGAGGTGTCAGTTACTGGGCAATGGAAAGCTTTGATGAAAGAAAAATATTCATCTTACCTGTAAATTAGTCACGTAAGGTTCTTCGCAGTTCACAAGATGGCTCAGTCTTGCGTGTTGAGCTCGTAATTCATTCTCCCTTATCTTCTGATGTAAATTGTTAATTTGCTGATTTTGCCTGTAATACACAAATCTTATTTCAAAAGGACTGAACGGAGATTAAAAAAAACATTGATCTTAAGACTTGTAATGAAGAATACACTAACAATGTTATTCAGCAATCCTGGATCTGTGTTAGCTGGGGGCTTTTTCCCACTGCAGCCAGACTGCAATTAGACTAATTTAGCACTAGAACTGGAACCTCATCCAAGTATGAACTTTAAAACTACAGTTACCATGTGACTTTCACTTAAGCAAACCCAAAGGGTCTGTGCTCAGTTCATAATAATAAGCAAATCCTGTAGAAATGCAACTTGAAAACTCTATCAATTTTGTGGGGGTTGAGGGAGGCTTCTGTTGTCATTTGATGCTAGGGTCAGAAGTATAAGCAGGGGAAAGTATACAGAAAACAGAATGAAAACAAACAGAACTCACACTTTCATTTTACTTGGACTTCTCCTGCTCAGCCTCTCTCTTTGCCAGAGCTGATTTTCCAACCAGTAAAAAGATTTACAAATCAAGGGGACCAGAAAGAACTTATGAAGAAAAGGTTATTATATAAGATAGTCAGCACAACTTTCCTGTAAGGTCTTTCTTTTTGCTTTGCTTAAGACTTTCTCAGTCAACTGCTTTATGCAAGATGTACCCTACACTAGGGTAAAATACTTGTGTAAAATAATAGTGCTTGTGTACTAAAGGAGAATTAAACTCTTGCACCAATTGTTTGGCCAGTGTACAGCAGAAACAGTATCACTATTTAATTATGTCACAAATGATATCACTGCTTAAATCATGACTGCATTTGAACCGGCATGACTGCAGGGCAAATACAAGCCAGGTCTCCACCCCAGCCCAAGTCCCAGCCCTGCGAGGTGTACAGTGCTCTCCATGGAGCAACGGGCACCTCAACAGCTGAGTACAGAATGGAGTTGTCAGCAGCCATCAGAAACACAAGAGCAACCTCCTCAGTAAACTTAAAACCAACTTTGTGCAGTCTATTAATTTTCATTTTTCCTTCTTTTTTATCTGAGGATATATTTGCATGCAAGCATGCAATTGTTTTGCAAAGCTTCACCTCTAAACAAGCAGTAGGACTGGCTTTTCTGTAAACTATGATGCTGAACCCAGATGTCTAAACCCAATCTTAAAAAAGAGATAAAAGGCAAACGCAAGTTAACTTCAAGGGAGAAGACCTGCCTGTGCACATACTGGAAAAGCAAATCCTGCAAAGCATAGAAAAAACGATCAAAGCCTGTGGCTTTTTTTAAAATTGGGGAGGGTTGCGTTTATGAAGAGCATCTCAGGAATATTATCATGAGTATACAAAACATGTATTATACAATTTATAAACAAACATGCAGTATGTATTAGTTGAAAAGATGCCAACTGCAAATTTTAATAGGAAAAATAAGATGCAAAAAGCCCAATTAAAGGGACTATTTTAGCTACCCATATTCTTCTAGCTAGTTATCAGTCAACTGTATTCCAATTATTTGGTTTATAAGAGGAATTTAATATTTGAAAAATATTGAATATATTAAAGTTAGCCTTTTCTCAGCTAGATGTGTTATAGAAGACATGATGCATGCCTACAGAACACCTTTTTTTAATTTTTCCCTATTTTTATATCTATAAAGAACAGCAATGAATGGAAAAACAGTATACAGAAGCTGCCATTTGGAAGTATCTTACAAGTATTCATTCAACGTGATTCGTAAGAAGGAAGAAGTTGAATGTATTTATGTGACTCCATAGCAAGTCCTAAAATACTTTCTATCAGCACAGGTGATTTTGAGGCTTACTTTTTCCATTCCACTATTTAGACAGAACAAGCTTGTAAAAATATAAACAGATTACGCAACACTGAAAGACTTCATACAGTTCTGGTCGGTATCTGTAACGTGGCACTACAAACAAAAAGCTTCCAACTTATTTTGGAAGAAGCAGATTCAAAGATTAGGTAAAAGAATAAGCTCTCAACTTGTAGCAGACCTTTTATAAGCTCAAGAGTTATTATACTCATCTGAGAAAATACAAAGCCTTGATGACTTTCGTGCATGCCTGGTTACAGAGACCAAAATAACTTAGTATGAGTTATCCTAACCTGTGAACTGAAGCAAATTTTAATTTTTTATCACCTTATTACTTACTAGACAGATGTACTAAAATTTCTTTGCTCCATGTGCTTTAAAATTATTTACCCATTTGTCACCTCTTGAAAGCATTATGTGATTTTCCGTTTACAGCTGACTGTAACTTAGCAGTGCCTTCTTTACCAGGCAGGATTTCAGTAGCCTGAACTAAATGCTACCACCTAGAGTAAATGTTTCAAGATATTTTTGAACTTCCAGTGCAGTTTGGACTACATTACCATATTTCCTTTCATAATCCTTTCCCTACCCTACCAAATCCCTGCAGGAAAAAAAGTGAGACAAATTAATCCGTGATGAGACAGAGCACAGAATTTAACTAGTTTGTTTCTTTTCACTCTGCAAAGCATGAAACTCTCCACCATTATAAAATCTTGCCAACAAAACACACCATAGAAATGTTTTAAGGCTGTGTAAATCCTGCTCAACTCCTCTGCATAACTACCTCTCTGAAAACAACATTAACCTCATGGCACTCAGAAACAAAAATTCTGAAACAGCAGCAGTCACAAGGAGAAGACAAACACCACACGAACATATTTACTATTTACATACAATCCTTTAAGTCTTTGGAGACTTCATACCAAATGCATTTTGTCACTGATACTCTCATATGCCAAGACAGTTTTAATACTCTGTTAGCCCATCCCTGTTACTGTTATTCTGCTGCATAACTCTTTATTTAAAGGGAGTGTAGAAAGTTCAAATGCTCTCAAAAACACAGCTCGCCTACTACAGTGGGAACACTGTCCCCAGAAGCCTCCTTATTACCAATCAATCATCACACCACTTAAAAAAAACAAAACCAAACACAATCAGCCTTTAGCATTTAGATGCCTTCAAGTTTCTGTCAAGCTCCTCAACCTCCTTCCCCTCCATGACACACCACAGGTACCACTTGGCCCAGCTGCCACAGCTGGAACAGGGACCTCCACTGTGGCCCACACTGGCACTGCTGTGCAACCAAGAGAGTTGGTGCTCTTCTTCTGCTCATTAGTGAAGGGAGAAAGGCAGGACAAGTACTGGCTTCAGTGATGAGCATCACCTCACTAGGACATTTGTATTTAAAATCAGGCTCAGAAAACAGCAGGGAAATGCCCAAAAAAGGCTTTCAATTATGAGTCTGCTACATTTGCAGTCTGTCTGCCCGCCCGTGGACAGCAAGGGGCTGCTTCTGGTGGTGCACATGCCCTGTGCCACTATTCTCTGCAGACAAGCATGTCGAAGACAACATGCTATGCCCCATGAAATGGTAGCCAAGCTCCCCCCATCCTGTGACTACTTACAAAGCTGTCTAGAATTCAGAGGAAAATTACTGGTGCTACTTGACACTAACTGAATCCATTTAAATGAGCAAAACCAAAGTTAGAGCTGTAGGAGTGATGTATTGATGGGAAGAGGGGAAGATTTCTATTTTGATTCAAGTGCAGTTCTGTCCTTTAGCTCAAACAATCCCCTTTGAAAACTCAAGTCAACACAAAGGACACAGGATCCCAGACAACAGAGTTCAGCTCAATGTGCACAAGCCTGGACTGTCTCCAGAGACCAGCATTAATAAACTGCTTAATATACAAATTGCTTCTCCTTAAGTCTCAAAAATATTAGTACAACATAACTGACATTCACATCATTTTCTCACATTCACAACAGAACAAGCATGGACACATGCTTATACAGACACTCATATACGCATTTATCTAGAAATAAATCACATTTTCTTGAACCTGGGACCAATTCATCTGTTCTCCATAAGCCCATTTTACCCCATACTTTAATACGAAAGAGCCTTTAGAAACCCACATTTGCCAGAGTAGCACTTTCTCCCCTCAACTTTTAAGTTTTTCTTAATTTTAATTCTTTAATTAGCGTAAATCTAAATCCCACACTTCAAGTCAGGATACAGATCCAGTATCTTCAAACACCTCCGGGACTTTAGAACAGAGTTTCCTCCACCACAGAAGGGACACTAGCAACATCATAAGAAATCAAATTACAATTAATGCTTACCTTCAAAAGTCATGAGGTTATGAGAATTTGCTGCTTCAGGTGAAAATGTGCGGGCAGATTTCTTCAGAATTGAGATGCAAAGTAGAATACAATACAGATCCCTCTCTATTACAGATACAATTTACTCCACACCGCAGCTGGAGGTATGCTGCTTTGTTTTGTTGCTTAAGAAGTTAGATACAAATTTTTATATCCCTTTGTTTTAGAGGCACAATCTCTTGGGACCACAAGTCCAAACGTGCAGAACATTGATAGGGAAAGAGATCCTTTGTAAACAAAGTCCTAAAAACAATGTGAATACATTTTCCAGAATTTGGAATATAATGCCAAAGAACTCCAACATCAGCAAAGCTAATGAGAAAAGATAATCTCAAATTTCCTATGCAATAAAGTCTGCTTTTTTTGTGAAGTTAGGAGACTGCAGTTCTAAGTGAACCTTTCCACCAGTCACAGCAGAACTCACCTTGAAGAGAAGATGGGAACACTACTTTTGGGAGTCAAGACATGATCAAGTGGATATGCTAATACTGCAGATCTTAAGAAGTCAGTCCAAACTAAAAGAATTCCAGCTTTACACTAGCATTAAAACGAGCACTACCAGAGCACTTACAGTTTGATGTCAATTACTGAGGTCAGGACAATTTGATACATGGCAAAGAATATTTAATACTCTTGTCCCAGTGAAAATATCCAATCCTAATTCTGCTATGGATTAAAAGTTAATGATTCAGCAACTGTTTTAAGAATGTAAGTGCTGTTTTGCCCTAAGGAATAACAGCTATTCACTAAAACTGTATTTCTCTACCTACCTTTCCTTAAAAAGCTGTTAAAATGCCCTTATGCTGACTAGAAGAGAACATTGCATGCACAGTGCTATTCTCAGCATCTTAGGTCATATGTTCCGATATTTAGCATTTATTCATGTACCCCCTATTTGCAGCCCCTGCCACACAAACACTGCCAGGATCACACTAGAGACATTGACAGTGGCAGTGCAGTCTCAAGAGACATTCACCATTGTGCCAAACACTGTAATTTCAGTGTTGTTATGTACTGAACAAAGGAGCAACATAAAGAATTAAAATGTGATAGTGTAATTTTCTAAACCAATACAAACAATGTTGGCTCCCTCTGGTGCTAAACATAATGTAGTGTTACATCCTAACCCACCAGAGAAGTAAGGCAATGATATAATCCAATTATTTTATACAGTAGGTGACAGACATTCTACAAAAAAGTGTTATAGCAGCAGATTTCCTCTTACAGACAAAACCTTAAGTCCTCATTGAAGGCCTGTACCAACAGTTCTTATGTGGAGAAAACATGACACACATCTTTAAGAAGTGCCACTGAGATCCCATGGACACGTGCACGCAGAGCAGGCTCACTTCCTTACGCCACATTTTCACTTCCTAGAAGTACTGTCTTCTCATTTTTTTCAGAGCAGACTTAAAAACCATTTCAGGTTTTTATTAATTAAATTAGAAGTGACTTCTAGAGTAGTTTTAAAAAGCAAACCAAAACAACTTTTAAACCCACCTCTTTATGCTACTGTGTACTACTTAAATAAATGCTTTTGTTATGGTGAAAAGGTATTTACACAAATAAAATGAATTTTAATTTACCTACTACTACATCTGCTGTTCAACACTGTACAGAATAAAAATTGAGCCACTTATTCTATTCACAGGTGCAAGGGGTTGTTTGAGTTTTAAAAACTCTACTTACAGCCTGAATTTCCAGTGACACACCAAAGTATACAAATATTATGATTTACACTGTAAGCATTATTCTTTGAATTGTTTTTATAGCTATTTGAAACTTACTTGCAACTATTCCTAATTGTTAGATTTCCAATGCAAAACAAGGAAGTTTAATAATCTCATCTGGAAGGGCCAGATTTTTTTTTCCTTTTTATCTTTGCGAGGAAAGAAGAGAAGCAGGCAGTATGTTTCACCTTCCTTCTCCTGCCCTTCCTCCCTTTTTTAACAAGATAAAGGTAGAACAGCTTAAGGATACTACCCTGTACAGAGCATCCACTCCCTACTAATCAACAGATTCAAGCACCAAAGTGTGTGATGTTAATCTCCCCCATCTCCTACATAAGTAGGACACCAGTACAATTCCCAACAAGAGTGTTTAACCTTAAAAAAATGGCTAATGACCCTGTCGGTGAAAGGGCGGCTGGTGACAAGTGCTGGAGAATGGTGTTCCCAGTGTGCATCCTTTTATCCAGCTGCTCCTTGTACCTGCCAGCAGCAAACAGCTTGGTCTGGAGCACTATACCAGCTGCTGTCCCACTGGATAACCCATCTCTCCTGAGCTTCTGTCCCCCCAGAATTAAACAAGTCTTGCTGGCATCTCCCAGCTACCAGTTTGTAAATTCAGCATGAGACATGACTTAAGGAAACTACACCTTCTAAAACTCCGTCAGAACCACGGGTACAAAGGGCCTTCTCAACAAACACCTACTACCTAACTCCAATCAACAAACTAACTGCTCCTCCATTTCCTCAAAGCATAAATTCTGTAATTTACTACCACCATCTTGAATTAACCACACTTTAGCAAACCTTATATTTTTATTTTAGGTCACTACTCCCAAATAAATTCAAAGTCTGAAAAGAAGTTTAAAGTAAGATCAGGAAGACCAGGAGCTGGAAGATTTAGGTTTACTCCCAAACATCATCTTGAATCTCAGTGCAAGGTTTTGTGTGTCCACAAGGTAAATGCAGATAATACTGCATTTTCACTTAGTGCCTTGGAGAAAGGATTCACACTTAAGTCTTATTAATAATTGATCTGAGAAGAAATATAACACTAGTACCTTTTAATGGAGTTCTATTTCAAGATTTTTGCACAGCAGCTTCATGAGTGAAACCAAAAGTATTTTTATTTGTCATAGAAGACATAACCTCTTCTTAAGAAAAAAAATTTAAGAATCTATTGTAAAAATTTGTAAATATGCAACATCAATTCGTACTAATCTTAAATAATACATCTATTTTAAATGTTTTTATTTAATTTTAAAATAACTTTTAAGGTATTTTGTCCAAATGGAGGCTCAATATTCAAAAAAGAGCCTGTTCTGTGATGTATTGTTACACTGCATTATTATAAAGTACAACATGCTTAACTCTTATACCAAGTGTCTACTTACATGAAACACTGTAACATCACTAAGTGGCCTTTGTTTCACTTCAATAGCTTCCAGAGTATATTTTGCCATTTCAGCTGAATGAAAAGAAATTATCTAAACTGACTTCTGGTCAGAAATAGAGAAAGAACTGTATTCACCATCATTAAGTCACTCAAAAATAATGACTTATACAAAAAAAAAGGAACAAAACACTGCCACTGGATGTCAAGAAATAGCTTTTCTTCCTCAACATGGACAGTATCAAGTAATGTTAGCAGGAAACCAGGTTGTGAAGGAGCAAGATTCAGGATGGGAACAGTTCCCAGGCATGAAGAAAAGCATACAGCAGTTGGCAGGACTTTATTATATGGACCTTACAGTTATCATATGGACTTTACTGTTATTATGTGGTTTCATTGTATTCACACTACACAGTGGTCGTGCCCAGGCTTGCCATGAGTTTGCCTGCTGCCTGCTCCCTGCTTCCTCCACTCCTCCCCCTTTTGTCCATGTCCCTATCTTGGTTTGTTCCCCTGCTTGTCTGTCTCATGCTCCGCCCTATGTTCTGGCCCTTTCCCCGCCCGAGCTGACAAAAGACAGGGTGCACACGTGAATAGGGCATTCTACTTGCACCCTTCCTCGTGTCCCATCCCCTCTTCGGACAGCGGCACCAGGTTACAAACTGTCACTTCAGAAACTTCACCCTTGACTGCAAACACATTTCCAGCGTAACAAGAGCAACACAAACTGCATTTTTAGTTGCCACTATGCAACAAGCCTTCACGTAGAGTGCAGAGGAACATAAGCTCAGCAGAGGCACTACTGACCGCCCCAGACATCATGGGTCATGTACTCACAAAGGCTGCTGACAGCCTGGGCCCCAGGAGGAAGGCTGCAGGTTTGCTACTACTGATAAACCAAGCTCGAAAAAAACACTGTAATTTAGACAGCAGATCTAGGCAGCAGATCAAAAGGCTCTGACAGAGGAGATGTAAACAACAGCTAAGGATGTTTCCATTTTAACTGCTTACCCCCTTGGGAGATGACCACCCCCGCAGGAGAGCTGGCAGAGCAGGATGGTGTGCCATTCCTACCTTGCGTACCACCACAGCAGGTAAACACGCTCTAACATCCTACATCCCACTGGGGAAGAGGATGCCAACCTTCAACAGTGCAATGCCAGCAGAGTTACTGGTCAGACTACTAAGGGACAGAAACACCTTATACCACTGCAATTCCTTGCTCTGTTGCAATACCGGAATGAACGGATCTTGCACAAGTGGTCCCAAAGTAAATTATGCCCAAGTTGCCTATCTCTACCCATAAAAAGATAGAAATTACTAAATGAAATATACAACTATTCATAATGGATGCCTAACATTAGTGTGATCAACACACACCTGCTTTACACAGTTCTCCTCATGTTGTGGAGCAAACTATCAATAACAAGAGCACAACTATATCAAGATCAGAACAACCACTCTTCTTTCAGCCATGAGCCAGGAGTTTATTATTGAAACACAGACTATGCCAAATTACCATTATGTCAAATATAAAAATATCCTCCTTAAACGTCCTACATCCAAACTCTGCAGTGCCTGGTGACATCTATTTTAGTGTAGTCTTCATTAAGCTCAAGCCCTTTTTAAAAGCACATTTTCCTCATTAAGAGGCCCATTCGGATTGACAGCAATTTTAGTAAGAAGCTATGTATTTACTCCTGGATTTAATATTTTCTTATTTGAACAATTTGTATCAGTGTCTCAATAGGATTTTACTGCTGAACATTACCGCTAAGTCCAGTTTCTCAAAGCTTTATCACCTGGCTTCAAATATATTACCTTTCTGTACTTGTCATGGAAAAGAAAATCAGCACCATGCAATTGACCAATTTTCATCTTGCAGTCACTTGCAAAATTTGTACAAGCAGAAAAATGTCTGATACAAACTCCCAGACCAGGAAGAAGCTAAGAGGGGAAGCTGACAGCAGAACTGACTGTTGGTATCACTTTCCCTTTTCCACTCCAGAGGCATTAGACCCCCTAAATACATTTCCAACTTTGTAAAAGACTTTTAGCCAGCTGCCAGTCTTCTCTCCTAGCAAGGATTAGCTCCCACGTATTTGCATGCAAATAGTGGCTGGATTGAAGCCTAACAACTGTATCAGTAAGCAGCTCTCCTGAAAGTCAGCTTTTACACTGTAGCTTTTACATCATCTAACCTAATGAATGGAGCAGGAGCAGGTTACTCACCGATCAATCACAAACTCTTTCTGTCTTAGCAGCCCCTCTTTAATTTTCATTAGAGATTCCCAGTTGCTGGAGTCCTGATAGCTGGTAGCTGGGTAACTTGGACGAGATGTTCCAGGTGAAACCTGCATAAAGTAATTGTAGGATTAGCCTCCAAAACAGTAAAGGTAAATAATATCCTAGGTATTAGGGTGCTTACTAAGTGGTTTGTTCTTTCAGAAACCTAAGAATTGTTTTTAAGTTTAATTCAGATTTGCTTTGTATAAAACAACTGGATTTATAAACAAGTTTCTTCAAACAAACTTCAGTGTCAATGATTTCATCATTTCTCTACTAAAGAATTCATAGCTCTGAAAGCAGTTTGAATGAAAAGCTCATTTAGAATTTAGGTACATCATTAAGACAAACACCACAAAATGCTGCAATTCTTGTAGCACTTCAAACAAGATAGCTTGATGCTAACTTTAGACCGGCTGGTAACTGCAGGTAACAGTTACCACTCACCTGTTCAACTCCCACCTGTAACGTCAGAATACGGAGAAACTTCCCTTGATCTGTGTGCATTTAAAATACAGAATATGGAAGTATAATTCTGATATAATACGGGAATATAATTCTGGTTAAGATCTACCACTCAGCTGTTAATTTAACAGTCATCTTGCTTCATTTTTCATGCACAGTGATCGATATTAGCATTAAAAAAACCTAAATTGGTGGTATCACTTTAGCTTTTTTGTTTGTTTGGGCAGTGATCTAATAAAACTTAGGAAAGATACCGAGTCATGATTCTTCCTGTAAGTAATACACGTGTCAAGTCCTTAAGGCTTAAGGAATCTAAAATTTATTTTGCCTGGATTGCTCCATCCAGACAAGATAACTTCAAAGTTATCTTCAGGTGCTCACAGAATACCTTGGGATTGTCACATATTGTTCTTTATCACAGTTATACACATGACCAGCTGAATTAAGAGGCACCAGCACAAATCTATTTCAGTGAAAGTCTCTCTTAGTGACACATGCCCTGTCATGCAGTATAAAGTGACATCAGGAACTATCACTGTATTTTGTGTCATGAAATTTTCTCCTTTGCTTTTCCCACTGCAGTGGGATGAATGCATTTCTATATCCACCTCAACACCATTACACTACAGTCAAAAAAAGAAAAAAGAACTAGTCCTTAATGTAGCTGAGATTATATCCTTATTTTTCAGAGCCAGAATTTCCATCTCTACTCAAAAGAAAACCCACAAGGGTTGGACATGATGAACAGGAAATATATGGATTTATAAAGCCAAATCAATTTATTGAGCAAGATGAATTTTGTCTCTAAGACTCAGCTATAAAAATTAAGAGATTAAAGACAACTATTTCAATATGAACCCATCTTAAGTGAAGACATTCTGGAAGTCATCAGTGGTTTCTCTAAGAAAACTCTTCAATGCAAGCCCCTTACTTCAATCTAGCACCTCTACAAACTTAATAGTTTGCACTAAAATTGGAAAGAAACTCTTCCACTTTGGTACATAAGTGATTATACAAGTCAATTAAATATTATTGCTGCTGAAAAGCAAGGCAATGAGTTTTGCAAAGCTAAGAACAGAGTAGTATTTTGTCAATTAAATGCTCACAATAGTGTATTGGTTTGTTGGTGTTTTTTGTGTTTTGGTTTTGTTTGTTTTTTTTTTTTTAATCTAATACATAAAGCCTTCTTACATGATGAGATGCTTTAAGTTTGGAATATATCTAATCCTGTGGAGTATATACATGCTGTATACACATACATAACAAATAATTTTTTACTTTTGCATTATAACTGCGTGCTTCAATTTTTCACTCTGAACAAATGAAAACAGCAACAAAAATGTTTGTTTCTGATACCATGGTTCATCCAATAATAAAAAAAATACTAAAAATACTTCATAGCAGTTCCCAAAATAACAAGACACTTCACTCATTTATGAGCACCTGGTGTTTACTACAAACAGCTTCCTAGCTGCTTTGAATGGTGTGGTAACACACAAGCAGTCCTCTTACGCTTGAGTATCTTGTCTCCTAGGGATATCAAACCAAATAGTGAGAGCAAGATACACTTCTGTGGCTCATATTTAGAAAGCATCCACTACTCTGAGTTCTCAACTTGAATCTGCCACAACTACAAAACAAAATACCAGCTGGAAAGACACAGCATTCTTTTCTATCTGCCTTACAAAATACATCTATTTTTGTCACCTGGCACCTCTTCCAAGAGTATCAGCCCTGTCCCAAGAACATCTGTTCAGTTAGAACAGATGGCACACTGGCATCCAAAGGTCCTTACTAGCTTGTTTTTTAACAAGGGCTTCAAGTCACTGCTGGGGCAAAGTCAGCTGCTGGGAAAAAATAAAAAATCTTCGCTGTACTGGCCTATATGCAAATATTTACTGGTGGAACAGACATTGCTGACTGATAGTATCATGTTTCTTATCAGTGGGAAAACAATTTTTCTCTGGACAGAGTGTAACAACATTTAGATAACTTAAGTGAAATATGGCTGGGTTTTTAACTGTGCTAATTAAAATTATCTTCTCCAAACACGCTCATAGTTTCTGCCTGAAGCAGTTTGGTGTCTCAGCACACAGAGTAGCACAGCATTCTGTGTGTAACATGCTGTATCATGAAGTAAAGGTGAAGTTCTAAAATGTCAATATAATAGCTCATCTCAAAAAAACCCCAAAAAACAGAAAGCTCAATGCATTTGAAAGGTTGTTGAGGTTTTTTTTTTTGTGAAAGGTGTAGTTTACATAATTCAGTGCTGTCTATACTACAATTGCAAAATTTCACAGTCCATTACTAACAACTAGCAGAGCACCAAGAGTTAGGCTAAGTGCATGATCCCTTCTGGCCAACTGCTTGCACTTCCTACACTATCATAAACCTCTCTCTGTAGGGATCATTCTTCTCCCCCTGCACTGCATTTTACAGTTATTACTCAACAGAAAGAGAATTCCTTGCAACCAAAGCTAATCCAAGGCAAAGGATCAGCACAACCAATGTTAGCAGGAGCACAAATGATTCCTTTTTTTGACTGCTGGTGGAGGAAACAAATATGAGTGTTCCCACAGGCTGTGCCTCAGGGACACTGCCCTACCACATCACTGGATGATGAGGGAGAAAGAACAGTTGGATGCGGCAACAGCAAGCCCAAATGCACTATTATCACAGAGATGCCTCTTGCTTTTCAGTCACCTGTGATAGGAAAAGGATTAGATCTGTAAAGGCAGAGCAGCAGTCACTGATGAACTCTGTAACTGCTCCCCACCCTGGGTAAGGAAAAAAAGGATTTATCCATCCCCTCCTCCCCAGCCAGATTTCTTCCTAACATCAGGCTGTTTCAGCTCACAACAGCTCCCTTAATTCAGACAATGCTGAAAGATCATTCATCCTTTTGCAGGCAAAACACAACAGGATTAGTAGCTCTTATGCAGAAAAAGCAATAGGAGGCTGAAATTATGGAATAAGGCCCTAATTTTAAGGAATCATTTACACAGAAAGGCTGTGCCTTGGTGAAACGCACTAAAAAGAACAGCCACAAAGCAGCAATACAGGATTCCCAGATGGATAAAAACAAGACTACAGACTGATTGAAGAAATCCTGACTTATAGTATCTGTATCTTCCCATCACTACCTATCGCTCTACTCTGCTCCGTCTTTGCCTTTTAGGGAAGACAGTGTTTCTGCTCATCAGGATATAATCACTACAATTCTTGGCAGCAACACCCAGGCTGTATCACATTTTGCTGTGCTTTCACAAATTTCCGGCAGTCGTAAGGGAGAGAATATCTAATCATGCCCTTGCACCCTTATTCTAGCCATGGTACATGTGGTATTCTTTGGGGAATTTTTTAATTAGAAAGAGAACACAAAATCAAAATTGAAACATCATCAAATGGTGAGGTACTGGAAAATACAGGCATACTGTAGAGAGCTTAGCACTGCTAGTAGCAAAATAAAAATCAATAAGGCTTAGAAAAAAATCCGAAACGCATAATTTATATAGACACGCAACCTGCAAAGTAGTTAATATAAAAAGGGCCACAACTAACAGGGAAAATAAACTTGACAGGAGTTCACAATTTAACCTGCCTGAAAATCAGCTTAATGAAAGTCAGGAGGGCCTATATATGATACGTCAGGTTACAGAAGATGGGGGTGAGGGTGAGGGAAGGAATAAGACAGTGACTTTAATCATCATCATCATCATCATCATGGCTAGGCTTTGCAAACGGAGATTTAGGAAGGCTCTATCCACGTTTGTTACAGGCATGCTGGTGGCTTATGAGGTCAATACGAGATAGACATATCCGACTGCAAAAGACACAGCAGAAAGACTCCTTAGGTGGTATATTCAGCAAGACACGATTCTTTAAATAGTTCTGGTATAAACCCATTGAAAGAATATGTCTGTAGTACGATGCCCAGAACCAGGAAGTAACTGAAACAGTAGAATATGTTCAATCAAGAGCAATTTTCATGACTAAAAAGCTTAGAAAGAGTGATTTATGAGTAAAGAGCTAAATACCACAAAGGCTGAAGAGACATGAAATCAGACTGCAAATACTTTGTTTCCTAGGTTGAGAGTCCATTCAAACTAAGGTTGATGAAATGAAAATTGAGATATGACAATCTGGAATAAGGGTATCAGGAGAAAACAAACAAAAACCAGCAAACAACAAACAAACAAAACCAAAAACCCATCAAACCAACTAAAGAGATGGAGAAAAGCCGCAAATGCCTATCACAAACAATCGAAAGACGATCCAAATTTTAAGATTTTAGAACCTACACAGGATAAGGTTTAGGAATTAAAGGGCTAGCCAGTTCTTACTTCATGACACATCAGGACTTCTCAGTGTTAGGGTTAAATTACGTATACATGTGACTAAGCACAGACTGACTACACTATACCAAGAGGAAAATAATCACAGTTAAGCTCCAACCTCATCAACAAAAATACAAGCTCAAAGCTTATTTAAGAAAGGGATCACCTCAAAAATCTATAGCCAGAGCTGAACTGCATGAATGCTACACAAAGGAGTTCTACAAAATAAGCAGCCACTGTGAGAGATGCACTAATTGTTATCCCAG